CCCCCCCCCCCCCCCCCCCGCAAAATGGCTTTTTTGGAATTTCCAGACCTTAATATAATTTCCCCTTTGGAATTGCCTAGGTACTTGTTCTACCCTCCCCTTGAAATATAAACTCCCCGGTAGACCATGGCCTCCGGTTTTTTGTCTGTCCCCAGCACCTAGGCATAGGATCTTAATCAAAATAGGCCCTTAAAAAATTAGTAGCTGGACCATCCACATATTCCCAAACATTCCCTCATTTCTCTTTTTTGTTGTTGTTCAGTTGTTCCAGTCAGGTCCAACTCTCCATGACTCTCCATTTCTTGGCAAAGACACTGAAGTGGTTTGCCATTTCCTTCTCCAGCTCATTTTACAAATGAGGAAACTGAAACAAACAGGGTTAAATGACTTGCCAAGGGTCATACAACTAGTAAAGTATCTGAAGCTGGATTTGAACTCAGGTCTTCCTCTAGAGTCTAGGACATTAATTATCACTCAAATTAATCTAGTCTTTACTAATTGCATACTATGTGCCAGGATACTGTGATAAGTGTCGCAGATAAAAATACAATGAATGAAGCAATCCCTGATTACAAGTAGCTTTCCTGACCTAACAGGAAAGACACTCACAAACCATGCTGAATGACACCTGGCATGAGGGAGGAAGAGCACAGAGCATAAGATAGCAGGGCTGCCACCATCATTAAGGTAGCAAAGCAGATGATGGGTTTGTAGTAAAAATAGCACTAAACTTGAGGGTGGAAAAACCTGTTGAAACCTCAGTTTGGCCACTTGACTACGACCCTTTGACTTTGAACTTCTACATCCTCATCTGTTAAAATGGGGGTTATAATAACTACATTGTACGGCTGTTGTGAGGAAACTGCTCAGTAAACTAAAAAGTTCTATGGAAATATAAGCTATCCTTGCTGCTGGTTTCAGTGAAGAAACCTTGTGCCAACTCACAGGTAATCTGAGGAAATGAAACCCATCAATCCTAAAGCTGTGTAATCTTGTATCATTAGTATGCAAACCCATCTCTTCCAGGAAGCTTTCCTTGACTAATCAGAAGACAGGTAAGGGATACTCTTGGTTCATAGCTACTATTTAAATGCAACTCCAGTCACTCCAACACAAGAACTTCCTTCACTATTTACATAGAATTACAACGTTTTTGTTTTTTATTGGTTTAGACTTAATTCCAGAATTAATTCAATTTTGTCACAGGTGTTACTAGCACACCCTTTTCCTTTCTGTCTGTTGGTGGAGAGGGGCTGAATTAAGTCCATCCACTTCCACAGTGAGCAGGACTATGGCTTTTTAATTCACTTTTCCTATGGGATATTTTTAATGAAGACAAGGTAGAATAGAAGATGCCATTTTATATCTGCATAATTCTCTCCTTAATCCAACACAATAATGACTTTTATTTACGTAGTGCTTTCAAATTTACCAATGTATTTTATAAGCATCATCTTTTTTGATTTTCTTCACAACAATCTCACCAAGTAAATCTTACAGGTATTTTCCTCACTTGACAAATAAGGAAACCGAGGCCCAAAGAAGTTAAATGATTTATCTATGCTTATGTCCCACAACTATTAAGTTTTGGAGGCAGGATATGGACCCTTTGCTTTCAACTCTTAGCCTAATAAACTTTTCCACTACACTCAGCTGCCTCTAGAAAGATAATCAAACTTCATCTATTCAAGAAGGGCAGAAGGTAAAGGTCAGCAGCCACCTTTTCTTTGCTTTCTTTTTTTGGGGGAGGAGGGCCTGGTTTCAATTTAGAGACAGCATTAGAGGCTTAAGAAAGATACCCTCATTGCCTGGCCCAAGTTGGTTGAAAGTGTGGATCCATTACAAACAATAACAACAACAAAAACAGGAGAGTCGCTCTACACTGTGTGACCTTCCCCATACCAAAGTATTCTGGTAATCGTCCCACCTCCCCCCCACAAAGCCACACACACATACACACACACACACACACACACACACACACACACACACAAAAACACACGCGCGCGCGCGCGCCATCCTTCAAGTCAGGAATTCAACTCCCTCTAATGGGAACCAGATGCTTTCTTTAATTGCACCTTCATCCTTTCCATCTTTCCTTTGTACCCCTAACCATCCACTCTCTCACTGTTCTGACCATAGGAAGATAGAACCGAGAATTGGAATCCTAGGTCATTTTGACATGTAAGATGGAATTAGCAGCATATCTAAGGAATGACTAGGATGAATACTTTAGTTTTTGGATTCGAAGGAAACTTTCCCCATCTCTAATTGCAGCTATGGGAAGATCATAAACAGAGACACACTCTTTCAGAGGGGTAGGAGCTGTTTTGGGAGAAGAAAGTTTTTAAGACCAGCACATTTCTGAAACAAAGGGCATGTGATCCCTTCACATTATTAAATATTTTAATGTCTAAGAAGGCCCAATGTAATTAAAGGTACCAGACACATAGCAGTTTGTTTTAATTGTCCATGCACAGCAGCAAACCACATGAGAGGAATATAGATTTAGAACTGGAAGAAACCTTAGAAGTTATCATGTTCATCCTATGTGTGTCCAGACAGCTGAATCAGGATTTGGCTGAGAGATGGCAGGGTCAGGCAAAGAATTCAGTCAATGAATACAAAAATTCAAAAACTGAGAACTTCTCATTGAAGCAGGACCACGTAAAAGGTTGAGCAGACAGCTGGGGGAAGGAGAGGCAATTCCACCTTGTCTTTTAATGGGTGGAAAGGCTTTGTCGTTAATGTTTTGGTTTCAGATATTCTCATTGTTCAGACCTTTTCAGTCGTGTGTGTGACTCTTCATGACCCCATTTGGGGTCTTCTTGGCAAAGATACTGGAGTGGTTTGCTATTTCCTTCTCCAGCTCATTCTGCAGATGAGGAAACTGAGGCAGAGCTAAGCAACTTGCCCAGAGTCACAAAGCTAGTATCTGAGGGTGGATTTGAAGTCAGGTTCTCCTGACTCCAGGACCAGAGCTCTATCCACTGTGTTACCTAGCTGCCCATTCAGATCTTCTATGCTCCCTCTGTCCCCCACCCCCCTTTCCCCTAAACAATGAGATGGTAGCATTTAATAGGGGTAAGAAACTGAACCAAGTTCTTCTTGGCTGGGACATGTGAGAAGACCTCTTCTCTCTTAAGAACTTGCACTCCTTGAGAGTGTAATCTTCCATTATTGGTCACCCACTAGCCTCAAATAGCTCTAGACCTGGTGCTAAGTAAATGGTAAGCTGGACTGTCTTACATGGCGCGGAGTAAGGGCTGTAAAGAAATTTGCATCCAAGACAGTCAATGTCCATTTTCATCAGGGCTTCTCCATTTCAAGTAAAGCCAGGTTTCTCCTGAACTTCAGCCAGGTCTGAAAGGTATCCCTGACTTGATAAAGAAGCCAAAACATGCTGCAGAGCTGGTTAAGAGGGGGAAGTATGATATGGTCATGTTTTCAAGAGCTGGAAAGCCTTTGCAGCACCCTAGTATAAATCACTTCAATAACTGCAGAAGGCTCTGCCCTTAACCATTTTGCAGCTTCCAGGCTCCAGTTTCTCCTAATCCTTAGAACACCAGGGTTTTCCTACAAAACAATAAAGATACTACAAAAGAAAATCGAAACCAACGAGGCATTTTGACCCCAAACAAGGGGAAATATGGGTTAGAGATCAGGCACTGCTGGTCTAAGCAATCAGGTTCCCTCCTCCTTCCCTGCTTCACTCCAAACAAAAGAGATCTCAGGAAGCGCCACCTCACAAAGCAGACACATTTTCCCTCTGAGATCTTCTGTGAAGGTGCCAAAGAAATATGGATCAAGAGAAGAAGAAGAAGACACTGCAATTGACAAGAAAGGTCTGGCGGGAAAATCTTGCATGTAGAGTGTTTAATGGCATTATGTACATCATGCTTCATGCCTTTGTTAACAGATTTAATGCTTCACCACCTGAAGCTCACCACTTGGGTTAAATTTAGTAAAGTAGTCTAATCATTTCCAGAGCTCTGACCAAATCAAGGGCTCCATTTCACAGGAGAGCCAAAGACAATGTCCTAGATGCATAAAATTAACAGTTCTTGACCTCAAAGGAGAGGAAGAAAGATTACCCACTCCCTGTCCTGGTGACAAGGGCCCTTCTTTCCTATCCAACATTTCTCAGCAAAGAACTCTCACTTCCAACTCACTTGTTTGTGCTTTAAAAAAAAAAAAACTTAATCAATTGGATCCACCTCATTGCAATCTTTTCATAATGTTCTGTATTATCCTTCCCCCTGCCCCCAATCCCAAGAGAGGGCCAATAAGCTGAATTAGGGGTCTATCCTCCCTCTCCCCCCTTTAAAAATTCTCTAATACTCTACAGTAGGGATTCTTAACCTATTTGGTATAGTTGACCCTTTTCACAGTCTAATGAGGCCTATGGACCCCTTCTCAGAATAATGATTTTAAATACTTAAGATAAAATATGTAAAATAAAGGAAGCCAGTTATATTGAAATAGTCATGAAAATATTTTTTTAAAAAAGTCACAAACCCCCAGATTAAGAACTCCTGATCTATAAATCTATAAAGTAAATGGTACTACTAAAAGTCTTCATCCAGGGGATGTATTAAAAGAGAAGACAGCCTCTGAGCTAGGAATCGGGGGAAAAAGAGAAGTTTCAGTTGTGAGCGACCCAGGAACTCTGACCAACAAGTGAAAAGTAAACTCAGATACCCCTCTTCTGGAAATACAAGCATGGCCTGTACGTTACTAACCAAGGATGGGACTGTCTCCTCCAACTCCCCCTCTACCATTCCCAGGCTCAGACCTCCTCTAGGAAAGGGGTGGGAGCGAGGACTCGAGAAGAGTGGGGCCACCAGCCCAGCCCACTCCCAGCTCCCCCAACCCCCAAAAGAGATGCAATCTCCTGGCTCCAGATTTGTTCTTAGGACACTTGAGTCACATGTTAACTGGGCAAAGTGGGTGGGGCTGACAGCCCTTTGCCCTTCCTCCCACTCCTACTTCCCAACAGAGTCCCCTCCCTCGAAAACCAGAACAACAATAAAAGGAACTCGCCCTCTAGACTGGCCAGCCCCAGGGGTACTGCTGGCTTGTCACTGCTCTGCCCAGGGAAGGTTGTGCCTCCTGGGACCACTTGCCCTTCCACTATTAAGGCCAAGACCTTTCCTATGCACCTCCCTCATTCCCCACCTTCTGTCTCACTCCCTGTAGCTGACGAGCTTCAAACATCTCCGCTGTAGTAGCTGTGGGTCACAGGCTTCTTCCTCTAGAAGAGATAAAGAACGGCTTGACTGGATTAGCTCTCCTTTGCTGGAGTGCAGTCAAGCACAGCCTCCTCAGCTCCGGCATGCCTCCTCTGCCTGTAATTCCTGCCTTGTGAGACTCTGTCAGAAGGAGCGATTAAATGGCTGCCTGCTTAATGACAGGACTATGGCTGCATTCAGACCGAGCCGGAGAAGCAATTACCTTGAAAATGGGGGTCACAGGCCCCACTCGTTGGCTTAATTGAATTCCAATATCTGCCTCTAGCTGCCTTGACCTAACGTGGAGCTTCCTAAATACTACTTAAAGGAAGCTCAGCTAATCAAAGCATACAGTCTTCCCTCAATTTTATTGTTCCTTTTTTTTTAATTAAGTAATATTCATCAGGCTGTTGTTATTCCAAAAAGGAAAGAGGGGAGGAAAAAAAGAGTCAAAAGTTAAGGCAGTTTGGGGAAGGAAGGAATGAATGGAGAGAGGGAGGGGAGGGAAAGATCCACCACATGTGAGGACACTGTGAAAATGAGGGCAGAAACATGAAGCAGGTCTGCTTTTAGAGAATCAGGGTGAGTGTTCAGGAGCTCCAAGAGCAGAAACACACCACCCCAGAACCCATGTCCAATTAGTTCCCACAACACCCTTCTCCCCTTATGTCCCCAAACACTTCAGTGCCTGACCCTAACTAAATACAGAGAGAGCACATTATGCAAACACATCATTCTGGGGTCAGCTGGATGTCCCAAGACTTAATGTTCTACTCCTGCACACTGGGTGGAACTAGGCAAACCATTTCCCTTCTCTGGGGCCCAGCACTGTCATTTGTAAAAAAAAGGGTGGTGGCTGGGTGATTTCCTAGGTCCCTCCTGGGTTTACCAGTCTACGCTTCTTTCCTTGGATGCCCCACCTTATGCCTCTGAGATGTAAGGCCTAGGAAGTTTTTAAATATTTTTTCACATTCTTGGGTTTCCTGGGTTCTTGGACTTTCTGTTTGTTGGCCCAAATATCTGTCCATCCTCCTCTTAACCCTCTCCATGATAATTATTAGGGTGAATATTTACCCTAGTCACAGCACTAGTAGACTCCAGGCTTGGCTAACCACCACTCATTAATGGCATTTAGAAATTTCCTTTTGGTGAATGGGCCCCAGAAGTACAAACTTGTTGGGTTGGTCATGCAAACAATCATTCCCAGTATGAGTGGTGACTCAGTTTTCCTCTCCTAAGCAGATAGTCAGCAAGCCAACAGAAAAAAGCTAGTAAGAGGCAGTATGATATAAGAAAAAGAATAGTGCAATATTTGAGAGACCTGGGTTTGAATCCCACCTCAGATACTTGCTAGCTCTACGACCATGGACAAACTATTTAACCACTTAGACCATCGGTTTCCTCATCCATCAGTCGGCAGTAATAGTACCTACACTGCCTCTCTCACGGGAAGGTTTCAAAACACTTTGCAAACCTCAAAAGTACTAGGTGCATAATTATAGTAGTGTTACAACTGAAATGTAGCTTCTGGAAGTTAGAAAGGGCCTTAGGAGGCTAGCGGGTTCAAACTTCTCATTCTTATAAGATCAGAACAATGAGGCTTGGTGAAGTCAGTCAAGTGACTTGTTCAAAGATCACATATTAACTTAGTGGCAGAAACAGAATGAAAACTCAAGTGTCCTACAATCAGGTCTGGTGCTTTCTAACTAAACCATACTGAAAACCCAAAAGCCATAAACAGGCTTTTACTAAACAAGGGAAAATCTTCTGTCCTTTTCTGTCCTTGAAATAAAGACCAAATATAAATCGGTAAGGCAGCTTGGTAGACGGGATAGAGACCCAGTCTTAAAACCAAGAAACCTGAGGTCAGGTCCTACCACTAGGACTCTGGACAAGTCATTTAATTTCTTGGCATTACAGGCACACTAATTTGCAGAGAAGGTGCCAACCTCTTCTTGGTAGAAGCTGCTCCCTCATTCGAGAGTTCCCTATACCAAAAAGATCCATTCCCTATCCCTATAAAACTTCAAAAGGGAGGAGGGAAAATTTTTTTTTTTGAGTGCGCAACCTAAATATTTGCAGGTTCACACTAAACCTTGGTACTTAGATCGGAAGCAAGAAAGATAATACAGAAATCTGACTGATCCAATAGGTGAAGACTGGCAACCCACCCCACCCCCACACTGGGCAGCTCACGCAGCACAGAAATGTTTACATATATAGCTCAGATTCCAATTTTAAAACCTGAAGGACCTTCGGTGCCAACTGAGTCAGCTGCGACATAACCAACATTGACACAGGCCACCTGATGCATGGGATATTGAAGCAAAAACCAATGTTTCACAGCACATTCACATTAACAGTACAACAGAGACAGTTCTGATCCCAGGTGGCCAAAAGAAGGGTGAACCTTTGCCTAGAGAAATAGCACTGAACGTTGCCTAACTCCCAAAGGCAGGAGGATACTCCACTTCGAAGTCAGGGTGTAATGTGTTGATGACTGCTCCTTTAAGCCCCATTATACAACAGCTTTTGCCATGTATTTGTCTTGACAGGATGCCCTTCCCCCCCCCCCCCCCCCCTTGAGTCACGGCTACTTTGAGCCAGAGGAATGGGAACCCTGAGGAACCAACTGCCTCCCTTTGCAGGCTAACAGCCAGACCAAATGAAAAATTTAAAGGCAAGAGTGGGGATCCAGCTGTTTTCAGCTACCTCCCAAATGGGAGCTGGGAAACAATTTGGAAAACCAATGAGGAAATCCCCAATAGGGTCCAGGAGGAGGGTTAAAGCCACCATTCTTTGAGACCAACTGAGTTCAGGGTTGATCTCTGGTTATGGTAAATGAGAGGAATAAAAGGGATATACACACGGTGAGAGGCAGATTGGGGAGTCCACGTACCCCGATGATGGCATTCAACTCCGTCATGGTCACCTGCTTGGCTCGTTCCACAGCTTGTGCAACTTGCTGTTGGTGCTAAAGGAAACAAGGGTGTAGGAACATCCATTAAAACAAGCCTTAGAACACTAGATGGTCCCTACAAGTGACAGGAAGAATTTTAAATCAAATGGACACCAAAGTTGCAAGGATCACCCCTGTTCCCTCAATATCTCCTTACCTTAAAAAAAAAAAAAAGCTTAGAAACATACTGCAAAGATGTTCTCATTCTGCTCACATATTTATCTCTTTTTTCAAACCCATATATAGAGCAAAGGTTTGTAACTTTCCTTATGTGTCATGGACTCCTATGTCAGTCTGGTGAAGCCCATGGACTTTTCATAATAATGTTTTTAAATGCAGAAATTAAAAATCCAAGATCACAAAGGAATACAATAATATTGCAATTACCAAAAAACACATATATTTTTAAAGTTCTGAGAACCCCGATGCAGAACAACATAGAATTCAGCTGCCTCCCAAGCTTTCACCCAAAAAGGCTCTCTTCCTCTCTGTCCACCACCCATATGTATGCAAATAAAAAGCAGTTCACTGTACAAGACTGTACAAGCATATTATACACTCCCAAGACAGAAGAAATCCATCTGTGAATGGGTTATGAGGCAGTTCAATAGGACTGAAAACTAGAAGGGGACTTTATACATTATTGATCCCACTTCTTCACTTTTCATATAAGCAACCACAGCAACAAGCACTATCCTAAGGTTTGCAAAGTATTTTAAGTATGTTATCTCATCTGATCCTCAAGACCAGGGGTATCAGACTGCCAGCCAGACCCAGAATTGGGAAATGTTTAACAAAATAAATAAAAATACAATACAACATAGATAATGCTAATTTGTGGCTTTCTAAGTATGTGGCCCAAAGGGACCCCTTTCTGTTTGAGTCTGATCCCACTATTCACAACCCTGTAAGATAGGTGCTACCACTGTGGGGATAATCTTACAGGTGAAGAAGCTGAGAAGCTGGTAAGGTGATTTGCCCTGGAGTGATCTGAAGTAGAATTTAAGTTCTCGTAGTTCTGACTCCAGTGCTTTACTTACTGTGCCAAGCTGGGGTGGGATATCTGACCTCCTCCACAGGGAGTGATCATTCAGTCATCTTAAGGGCTGGGACTTAAAAAAAGGAATGTGAGCAACTATCCTCTCACATGTGCTAACTTTCGAGACCAGAGGATAAATGCGAGTTGAAAGGGAGAGAAAGGGTGCTTGCTTTTAAGCCCCAATAATGTGCAGTATGAAATATCTAAGAAAGAGTCTCCCCAAAAGCACAGCATCCCAGCAGGAAGGAATGGAAATTGGAACTAGCCAAAGTTTGAGAAATATGCCTCACAGTAGGTCATAAAGTATATTTAAGGCCCCCAAAAAGAACCAGGTTGAAATGAGAACATGCTCTTCCCACCTAACAATCAGTGACCCCAAATTGGGAGACAGTGTGACAGCCTGAAGTCAAGAAGACTTGGGTTCAAATCCCAGCTCTTCCACTTACTACCTAAGTGACTTTTAGCAAGTTACATGACCTCTCTGTACCTCAGTTTCCTCATTTGTAATATGATTGGGTCGGATGAGTTAACCTCTAAGGTCCCTTCCCACCAAAAATCCAGGCTGTTGTCCTATCTAAGTGGAAGAAGGCATTTTATGGAGTTGGGGTCCAGACAAGTGGGACCAACATGCTTACCTTAATCTGGGCTGACCATTTATTGGGGGCTTTTGTTCAAAAGAATTTGTTTGTCACTTAGATGACATGGATTTACAACTGGGAGAGATTGTAAAGGTCATCTAATCTAGCTCCTTCATTTTTATAGATAAGAAAACTGAGATCTACATATATACATCTTCATAATTGTAGGCAGGGTTGCCCTGAACTGGCTGGGTGTAACCAAGGCAGCCAAATGCCCCAGTTGACTGTACACCAAGTACAGTCAATTAACCAGGTACAGCACCAATGGTAGAAACTGCCTCTGTGGGATGGTAGGAAGGGGCCCATTTGACCCAGTGACATAAAAAAATAAGCACTTTTGGAGTTGTCTATCCCTTGAAATTGCTCAAGTCTCTTCAGAACAACATTACCAAACTCAAGACAGTCACTTCTGCTGCCATTCAAGAACAGTGACTTGGAAATTCATTAGATGTTTTTAACGGCAGGAGAGAAAGGGGAAGAAAACATATCTTACCTCTTGCGACAGAAAAGGCATGATCTGAGCTAAAATTGTGTTCAGTCTCTTAGCAATTTCTGTCTAAAAAGAGAAAGAGATCACATTAAGTTTGACACATCAACTTGGGAACATAAATCAAAGTCACTAAAATGTCATAGTCGAGACTAATTCCAGACTCCCAACCACAATGTAAAACTGCTTTCTCTTATAACAAGCAATAGCAGCCCTTCCCTCCTCATGAGCCCACCCAAGGGTAGTTAAAGGAAGGCTATCGATAACAGGGGCTTGAGCTGGACAAGGCTTGAGATATGATTGTTCCACCCCTGCACTTGTATTCAAAAGACCAGAAAGTTGGTAGGCTGGGTCCAACCCCAGGATTTCTTATCAAAGACATTCTATTGTTTTACAAGAACACACAGTGGTTGTTCTTAGGTACATCTATTCAAGGTCTCAAATAGACTGGAAGATAATATAGCGAAATTTCTTGGTACTGTTGCCAAGGAGCCTGGCAATTATGAGGATTGCCAGGGTGACCCTTCTATGTAGGCAGAACCATCAATTTGGCATGATTTGAAGGCAAGAACAACTCCCCAACACACACACACACACACACACACACACACACACACACACACACACACACTCTCTCTCTCTCTCTCTCTCTCTCTCTCTCTCTCTCTCTCTCTCTCTCTCTCTCTCTCTCTATCTCAAAAAACCTAACCTTAAATTCTACCAAGAGAGATTTTTCTCCCCTTTAGATTAAAAATATTTTAAATTTTAAAAATCATCCCAATAACTCTGGAATGATAGGAAACTGAAGCAGATAAATGTTAAATAATTTGCCCAGGGTCACCCAGTTTGAACTTTGGTCCCTCTGATTTCAGGTTCTTCACGCTATCTCCATTGGACCAGCAAGCTGCGCTTGTTTAATCGGGTTAGTGGGAAAGTTTTGACTTCTGTTGGTGGACAACTCCTAGGCCTTTGTGACTTTAGTTTTGATTTGGTACCTACTTCAGGGAACTGCAGCAAGAATTAACTAAAAAAGTACTTATCAAAGAGAAGTCAACAAAATGGATTCCATTCAACAAACATCTATTAAGCTTCCTCCTCAGCCCCATCCCCATCTCCATCCCACTCCCTTCAGTCTGATCACCTCTACTTATCAGGGTATCAAGATGAGACCCAACTGCAAGATAAAATAAATAAGCAAAACTTTAAAAGTTTTCAAGTCCCACACAGGTACCTGCCTTTGAGATGAATTCTTCCCTATTCTTGACCCGCCTCCTCTAACCAGATGCTGCTTCTGGCCTTCCTCTTCTATTGTACGTTAGTTACTGTTTTTGAACCATACATAAAGAAACAAAACCTCCAGCACTAGAGAGAATGAAGCGTAATTAGATCTAAAGGGATTTCAGCTACCGAGGAGGCCCAATTTAGATACTTAAGTACAGCCCAATCTTCATGGCTTTCTTTTAAATAAACCTTTTATCATTTTGCTGTTGTTTAAACATTTCAGTCATAGCTGACCCTTCGTGACCCCATTTAGGGTTTTCTTGGATAGATTTTTTTTTTTTTTTGTCTTTTTAGGCAATTGGGGTTAAGTGACTTGCCCAGGGTCACACAGCTAGTAAGTGTCAAGTGTTTTGGTTTGAGGCCAGATTTGAACTCAGGTCCTCCTGACTTCAGGGCTGGTGCTTTATCCACTGTGCCACCCAGCTGCCCCTTAGGGTTTTCTTGGCAAAGATACTAGAGTGGTTTGCCATCTCCTTCTCCAACTCATTTTACAGATGAGGAAATTGAGGCAAACAGGGTGAAGTGACTTGCCCAGGGTCATACAGCTAGTTAAGTGTCTGAGGCCAAATTTGAACTCAGGTCTTTGTGACTCCAGGCCCAGCACTCTATTATCCACTGTACCACCTAGCTACCCTTTTATCATTTTAGCCTGGCTATTATTTCTGAATCTGTACAGTCTATTTTCCCTGGTAATTAACACACCAGAATTAAGACTAGCAAGAATCTCATCTTCTGCACTGGAATAGTCTCAAATGATTTAAAATTGGCCCACACAGGCACTGGATCTAGTTCACTGGCCCATCCTACAACCCTTGGTTTACTCTCAGCCAATCAGGAACCTTTCCTGACTCCAGGGGGTTCAGGTAGGAGAATGGTTTTTCCCACATTTCCACTTAATTCTCTACCAAGAGGAAAGCGAAGAAATACAATATTCCTAGAACTTCATTCAAAGTTGACACATCTCTTTCTTTATACAAGTCAATCTCTGCATGGAAAAGATCTTGGAGGGAGAGAGGAAGGGAGAAAGGAAAAAAAGAAGGAAGGTAAAAAGGAAGGCAGAAAGGCCCTCTCTAAGTACTATTTTGAACAGTTTTCTCTTAAGATTTGACCTGTACTGACATCCCTGTTCAGACAACTAGAAAACTTCTAAGCAATGAATCCATCTAATTTATGCTTAATTTAGATCTTCACCCTTTGTTAGGTGAAGGGAAAAAAGGTACAGACCTTCCTAAGAACTGCAGGTGCAGTCATCCAAACACTAGAGCTCCTGCCAACAACACATGCCACTGGCCCGTGGTTTGAGGATAAATGTCTATTTGTGGGCAAGCCCGGGGTGAGAAGGGGTGATAGTAGAAACAGGAAGTACTAAGTGTTGACATACCAACATAAGGCTAAATAAGCCCTTCATTAAACAGAGAAATGGCCCAGCCATACCTGATCAACCTCAATGGGGTCTCTGGCAGCTGCTGCTGCTGCTGCCTACACCACCTTCTCTTTGGGAAGACAGGAAAAGAAGGCTTCAAAGTTTTCCAGCTGGCCATGACCTAGCCTGCAATTAAAGCACTCACTTGTGGATGAAAGGTTCTTCCCCATTGCCAACTTCCTTTGGCAAGCCAAAGTAGACTTCGAACACAACTGGTCAGTGTCAGGACCTTAACGCTTTAATAAAAAATGAAAAGTATTCCCCTTTTCCCCACATCCTTCAGAGAAAGAACAAAGGAAGGCCACAGGATTTAAGGTTGTAGACTCCCTGAAGGCAGGAATCCAATCTTCTCTATATAATTCTGTGTCTCAATTCCTGCTGTGCCTGGTGTGGTGCCCAACATCATCTGATTACCCAAAGAGTAAAGTGACTTCAGCAAGATTTTATGATATATCACCCTGCTGAAATCTCCTCTCCATGGGTGGGTTATTTGGGAGCAACACCAATTGAGTTCTTTGACTTTTATCCATAAAGGAAGCAGCCCCTGACCCGCTTTTCTTCCTTCCTTCCATGATCTTCCCCTATCCCCAAGTCATCCCAACACAACTCTTCCAGGAAAAGGAAGACTGCACGCTTAGCATAATTTGTATACTTTTATGTCCTGTGTACCATGGCATCTCTTCAAGGCTTGAGGCTCATTACGTTCAAAAGGGAGAACCACCTTTATTAGGGACCACACTATAAGAAACAATCCCTTTGCTGACTGACATCAGAAAGGATATGGATTAAGACAGAAAAGGACTTCCCAGTGGAATTATTCTTGAAACAAGCCTAGTCAACTGTTTCCTATACTTTATAGGTTTCCTCTCTGATGTGTAATGAAGCAAAAGTGTGTCTGTCTGTCTAACTACATGCCAAAGCCAAATGTAAAACATTTCCCAATTCTCCAGGTTAGCCATATTATTTTCTCTCCCTCTATTTATAACAGATAACTAGGATCAGAAAAATCTGGGTGCGGGGCCTGAATCTGCTATTTACCAACTATGTTATGTTATTTAAGGAACCTTTATTTCATCGTCTCTAAAATGAAAGGGTTAGACTAGATAATACTTAAGGTTCCTCGGAGCTCTAGAGCTATAATTCAGGCTTTCTTGAGGCAGATTTAAAAAAAAAGTTTGAGTGATTAAAAAACAAACATCTAATTCATTTCCTGATATAATTAACCAAAATTAATGCATACATAGTGTTCCGCTCTTGACGGCATGCATCAGTTCATACCAGCACTTTTCCAATTGTCCATTGAAAGCAACTGTTTTCTCATTTCTTCTTTGCTGCCAGGATTGGTCACTATGGTTATACCTGGTGTTCACTTCAGGAGACTTTATAATTATCTTGTCATTAAGTTACTCTCTTATGGTTATTGGTACCACTATTATAAGCCCTGTATTACAAATGAGGAAATTGTAAGAAAGTCTGGAAAGGTTAAATGTCTGCTCCAAAGGTCAACAAAAATACAAGGGTCAGAGTCTGAAATAGACCTCAGTGAGATCCTGAGACTCCATAACCAGTGGGCTTTCCCACTGTACTATGTTTATCTCTAAGAGACTGTTTCTTTGTTGTTTTCTTTCTTTTTTGGGGGTGGGGGGTGGTTTGAGGAGTTGGGGAGGAAAATGTCCCCTGGCGTTAGAAAGCAGTACTTGATTTTTTTTTTTGTTAAAGAATCTCCCAACTTCCATGATATTATTGTTGTTCACAACTCTTCATGACCCCTTTTTGGGGGTTTCTTGACAAAGATACTTGATTGGTTTGCCTCTTCCTTCTCCACCTCATTTTACGGATGAGGCAACTGAGGCAAACAGGATTAAGTGACTTGCCCAGCTAGTAAGTGTCTGAGGCCAGATTTGAACTGAGGAGGATGAGTCTTCCTGACTCCAGGCCCAGCACTCCACCACTGTGCCACCTAGCTGTTCAATCTCTATGACACTAAGGCTCAATTTGTAATAGAACATCTAATAAGTTGGAATCACTCGGAAGAGAAACTTTTGAAAGAAAATTTACCACAAGGGTTAATAACTGTGGCCTCTCAGATTGAAACAGGTGTTAAAACAGCTCTTGATCCAACATCCACAAGCTCCGAACATCAGCTGGGGGAAAAATGAAGAACTGGTACTCTGACAACGGAGACTTGGTCAAAAGCACAAACTGGAAGGAGATCAAACGGTTTAAAAATTCCTTTTGGTGATTCAGAGCAATCTGTTATCAACAGAGCACACAGGCATTAGGTCCATCTACACCTCTCCGCCATCTTTGTCTTACAAGCTTTGGCCTTTCAGCAAAACCAATCAGAAAATCACTTCCCAGTATT